GTTAGACCAGTGCGGTGATTGCGATGAGTGCGGTGAATGCGATGAGTGTAGTGAGTTAGACCAGTGCGGTGATTGCGATGAGTGCGGTGAATGCGATGGGTGTAGTGAGTTAGACCAGTGCGGTGATTGCGATGAGTGCGGTGAATGCGATGGGTGTAGTGAGTTAGACCAGTGCGGTGATTGCGATGAGTGCGGTGATTGCGATGCAGTGTAGTGAGTTAGACCAGTGCGGTGATTGTGATGAGTGCGGTGAATGCGATGAGTGTAGTTGAGTTAGACCAGTGCGGTGATTGCGATGATGCGATGAGTGTAGTGAGTTAGACCAGTGCGGTGATTGCGATGAGTGCGGTGAATGCGATGGGTGTAGTGAGTTAGACGGAAGAGATTATTTCGCTGGCCTGAAAGTGACAAAACGTAACAAAACAACGGTTTTACTAACACTAACCCTACTCCAAACACCAACTCTAACCTTTAATCCTTACCCTAACCCTAACCTAACCCTACTCCAAATTGGTTTCTAAACCATCTTGAAGAAAAAAGTTTTGACGAAATGTCATTCTGAGGTTAGCGAAATAGTTGATGCCGAGTTAGACCAGTGTGGTGACGCGATGAGTGCGGTGATTGCGATGAGTGTAGTGAAGCAAATAATTCCAAACGTAAACATGACAGCTAGTGATCAAATACAAAACACGTAAATAAAATTTCAATATTTATTGTTCAATTTTTAAAATTATTTCCATTTAGTATTAATTATTAGCCAATCAACTAGCCAATGAGCGAACCTCTTACTAGGGCTACGTGCTGACCCAAAGCAATGCAATAACAATTTTGTAAAAGTAACAATATCTTAAATAGGTCTATAATTATTACTGCTTAGCTACTGTTTCAATAAGTTTTGTTTTTGGGAGTGGTATACCATTATTTGTTGGGGGGGGGGAAGAGTTGGCAAATCGGGGCATAAGGGTTTTTCTTTAATCAGGGAATCAAAAGGTTTGCCTTCAATCTTTTATACCCTGCATTGAAAACTGATATTTTCCCCTTTTGCCAATCCCTACCCCATCCTATAATAACCACTCTAGCTGTGATGAACATTGAGATCTTGCCAAACTAACAAACCATTTTCAAATTTGCATTTCAGCAAATAAAATTTACATAATAAATTCTTCAAGACAAAAAATGAAAGCTGCATTGCGAAGGCCAAATTACACAGAGAACAATCAGGGCTCATGGGATTCTTGAAGCCTTGTGTAACCCTTTCAGTGGTAACACTGCTGCTTATAAAAGGGTTAACAAGAAGTATGGGCAGAGTCTGATTAATCCACTGAGCGGCAGTACTCTTCATTTGATGAGTAACTTAAGCCTGATTCACATAAAATCGTTAAGCAGTCGCAGACATGTGCCAAATTTTTATATGAACAATCTGCGACGGATCGGGAAAGTTGAACCAAGTTCAACTTTCCTGATCCGTTGCCGATCCGGTCTCAGACAGTCTGTGCGAATCTGCATTTGTGTTCATATAAAAATTCGGCACATGTCTGCGACTGCTTAACGATTTTATGTGAACCAGGCTTAATCATCTGACAATATAAAGGGTAGATTGGGACACATTATAGTACACTGCTGCCACTTAAAGGATTAGTTATACTGACCATTTTGTACTGTGTATTTCAAATTTTATACCTTATCCAACTTTAGGCACATGGATGGAAACCACAAATTAATACAACCCTATCGTTTCATAATCCATGGAGCTATAGACGGGTATTCAAGGTTAATTGTCTTTTTAAAAGCGTCGAATAATAACAGGGCATCAACCGTCTTTAATGCTTTTCAGGAGGCTATCACAAAATACAATATTCCTTCATGTGTACGCACAGATTTAAGTTTGGAAAACATTGAAGTAGCAAGGTTCATGGTGAATACAAGGGGAGTCGATCATGGAAGCATTATCACAGGGACTTCAGTCCACAACCAGCGCATAGAAAGATTGTGGCGTGACGTCAACAGCATTGTTTGTGCACAATTTCAAAACATTTTTGCTGATCTTGAGAGAATCGGGCTTGACACAACAAATGAGAACCATCTGTTTGCTTTACAAGTAGCATATATACCTATAATAAATGCAGCACTAGAGGAACTGACTTCGAGCTGGAATTGTCATTCTCTAAGTACAGAACACAATTTATCCCCAAGACAGCTTTGGGTTCAGGGAATGCTTCGTTCGGCAAATTCTGGACACACAGCGACAGGGAGTGTTCTTAACAATGACCAGATTGATTGGACTGAATATGGAATTGACGAAGATGGCCCTGTACCTGATGAGCAAACAAACTACGCTGTTAACGTTCCTCTTCCACTTTTTCATTTATCAGAAGAATTACAGCAGCTTGAAATCGTTACGCAAAATGCAAGAGCAGCTGGCGATCCAGACGGTATCATTTCATTCTTTTCTGTGCTTCACTTACTAGAACAGTTTTTAGAATAAACAACTGTCAGCAGTGTCAATATAAAGTAACAATATAAAGTTTTAGTTCAATTGGTAAGCAAGGACAAAATGGTGCTATTATATGCAGCTTTTGGGCAATATACATGGAGCTTTTTCAACCCCAGGGCTGAATTCACTCTTGAGTCCTGTTGACCAGGGGTGGAAAATAGGGGCCTTAAGCATGCACGACGGCAACGCGACGACAGCCAAAACAAATTTCTTGGCAAATAAATTATTGCTAAGAAGAGTTGTTGTGTATTATCCACTGCATGTATATATGAATTAAGTTCAGTTTGAAAAGATTAAAACAAAGGCTTTATAGTTAAAAATGCTTCTGCTGAGCAAATTTGTAATTTCACTTGTCGCGTCTTGACATGTTTGCATTGTACACGAGACGTGAAAATCTCTGTTTTACCATTGTAAAAAGCACTAATACAACGTTTCTAACTCCCGTGGGGCTTTTTGTTATTCATTTCTTTTGTACGAGATCAGGAATATCATTGTGTGAATAGCTGTCGTCGTCGTGTTGCCATCCTGTTTGCTTAAGGTCCCTAGTGTATCAGACCACGAGACCATTAGTCCCAGAAAATCTTTTCAGTTACCAGAAAATATCCCCCAAAAGAGAGAAAAAAGATAAATGTTGTATCACTATGACCAAATGCATTTCCACCAATCTGAGAACTGATTTTCAAAATTTTCTGGGGAGAATGCCCCTTTCCCCCGAGGGCAGATCCCCCTAAATGTATCATAGCCATAGGATTAGACATCTAAATTAATTTTACAGTATATTCATCAAGTATTATAAAATATTTTTCCACATATGGTGTTGACCACACTGAAATTTTTTTCTATTAAATGGGCAATTTCAACCCCAGGACTGAATTCCATTATATCATCATGGATTGTTGACGACGTTGACCCATTTTGTTTTTGTAGCTCGATTCACTACCATGCACTCAGGCTGCTTCAACTGCATGGGCTCAAATTTCAGCCCTGGATGCAACTCACTCTGCCCTGCGCTGCAAATTTTTGTAATGTAATCCACACACTTTATTTAATTTAAAGAGGGTTTTATAATGATGTAGGGCTGAAATTTCACCCCTGCCTACCGGGCTGAATTCTGCCAACTCTGGTGTTGAAAAAGCTCCATGTATTAATTGGCATCCAAACCATGCAAACGCGTACAAGCTATATTTACATTATCTATTCATATTTAAACTAACAATTAATTTTGTTTGTTTGTTAGGTCCCAAACACGTTTCTATGATTAAGTCTATTCTACAAATAAAACTGGAATGAACAGTGACAAACGTAACACGATGTCCTATCATTTGACATGTATTTTTAATGAAAATCAGTAATTCGTATGACATTTCATGAATTACTGTCATAACATCCGCCCACATTCTGGTTTGAGTACCTAACATATTGTTTATATTGAACAATGACAAACATGAATTTACTGGATTCCACAATAACACTGTGCTAACACAAGAAACATTATGTAACTCTATAAGTTCCTGGTATTACGATACGCAATGTATGCATTGTATAGTAACATAACACAACAAAAAAGTAATATATGTAGTTTCCCATAGATGTAGGTGGATTTGTGTTTCCCACCAAGAGAAGGCATTCAGCCTGCTCTGGATGCTCCTTGATGATTGTAAGCAGGGGTCCCAGTCCCCTCACAAACTGGTCAAGTTCTGCTTTTCTCGATAGCAAAACACTGTGAAGACATAACGATATTATCGATTGGAAGAAATTTTCCATTGATAACCTGTGTGGAAACCCAGCTTCGATAAGAAGTGGTTCCACTTCTCGCGCTATCTGTGTCAAGGAGTCCGGAGTGACATTATCAAGCTGGAAAGAGAATAAAACTCATGAGAAAGGATATACTACTTAAAAGTTAATTACTTTATCAGAGAACATTGTAATTGGAAAAGTATGTTCTGATTTTGTTTGGAGTATATAACATGTATCAATGATAATAAACTCAAGTGGTGAAGTTATGACAAACATCTATCGCATAGTTTCGTTGTTTAATTCCCACATACAAGACAAAAGCAAAGCCAATTGAATCCGAGAAAGGTATTACGAAACCAGTTTCTGCAATATGCACCATTTTGGATGAAGATACCTAATAAATTCTAATAACTGTCCTCATGCACCTTATTAATTGCTTCAATGACTTCAAAATCAATCACATCATCTTTTGTTATATACTCTGTGACAGCATCTGTATCAGCACACTGAATATATTGCCAAACTGCTTTAGAGAAATAAGGAAATCCTGGACCACCGTTTATGATTGATGCAGCCACCATTCTTCCAGCAACTTCAAATAATTTTGATCTCAATGCATCAGTGTTATGCGAAGGAAGATATATCCCATCTTTTCCTTCGAATAAATGGACAGCTGAGTTCGGGGAAAGGAGCTGTCTCAGAAGAAGGGTAAAAAACTCCTGCTTAGGACCACCTCCGTCTATTGCTGGCTCCCCTTCGAATGTTATCTTAACAGGTGTACCGAGATTGAAATCTCTCTGCTTAAAAAATGCAATGCTATCAGATAAGATTGTATTCCTGCTGACCATAAACCGCATTGGTGCATTAGTCGAATCAGGAATGACACTTCTGACCAATTCGATCAATGAATCCCCTGAACATGTTGAACTGTTGTTGCTGTGATTCCCTTAAATAAAATAAAAGTTAAACAGAAAATGATCGAGGTGCTATGAAATGAAATCCCCAAATATAACCAACAGCCACGACCGATGTTTGGTTACATTATTTAAATTTTGTCATTATAACTGTATTGTACTGATTGCAATACAAATTCCTTCACACCTGATTTGTAATTTCTTTATCCAAGTGAAATGATATAAGAAAGTAAGAAACACCTATTAAAATTACTATATAGTTACAGTAATTACTTTTGAAAACTATCTACATGCATATATACAGTAAATTTAACTTATCAAATAAGGGGGCATTTTGTTTTTACATTCAAAACTCTTTAGCTTTCATATTTTCGCTCCCTTACACTTGTGCTGTAACTCTAATAATATATACATTAGAAGTGCTTACGTCACTCCAGTGCCAAACAATGAATTGCAATGCAATATGGGACACATGTAGGAAAATGTACCTATAATGTTTATATGGAATCCAAACTGTGTGACGTAGCACGTGTAATTAAAATCTAATAAATGCCTCATAAATTGTATAAATAGTATTTAAAACATGAGAAGGAGTGTTTTATCATATTTAAAATGCGAGGCGCAGCCTAACGTTTTCAATATGATAAAACGCGAGTTCGAGTGTTTTGAATAGCTTAAAATACGATCACAAAAGAATAATAATTAGAATAAACAATTATATATAATCATACTAATTAGGATGAACAATTATATAAAGAATACTAATAAAGATGAGTTTTATCAGATATAAAGTCACTCCACGTGACATATTATGGCTGACATGATTTGCCATAAGGTTTATGAATTTTTAATGAGTATTTTAAGCTAAGGGCATTTAAAAGATGGCATCCATTTTAAATATCGCATCCATTTAAAATATCGCTTAAAAGGTGAGTGATTATCACATCATCTACATACAGTAATGTGCCCCTTTCGCTTTTTAAAGATAAATAAACCATTTCCTTAAATTAAAATGCAAGAAACACCCCCATTTCTCTTCCATATGCAAACCTGTATTTTCAGTTGTGCCGGTTTGTTGCATGACATAATCAAAAGCTTCCTCCAAATTAGCACTTTTCCCCATAGCCACACTCAACACATCATCAGAGCACAATGGAAACATTTCCTTCAATTGAGTTATTTCAAAATCAAATAATCGACACATACTGGAAGAACATCCTTTGTCTTCATCACCCATTGACTCGGTAGATACAGATAAACTTATGGATGGCTCTTCTGAGAGAAATGTATATCCTCGAATATTTTCAAGATATTATCCTCAAAAAGATTCTTGAAAAAAAGAATAAAAGTATATCAAGCTTCGTCAAATTTGGCTATGACGCGCCAAAGCGAACAAAAATACTTCATTTGAAAATATAATACTTCATTTAGAAATATAATATATCTTGTTGAAAATTAATACTTCTTTCAAAAATATAATACTTGAAACAGTAAATACATAAACCAATATGGAAATATATACCGGTGTCAAAATATAAACCGGTTTCATAATATAAACCGGTTTCAAAATATAAACCGGTTTCAAAATATAAACCGATTTCAAAATATAAACCGATTTCAAAATATAAACCGGTTTCAAAATATAAACCGATTTCAAAATATAAACCGATTTCAAAATATAAATCGATTTCAAAATATAAACCGATCGCGGGCGCACAATAAGCCGCTGACCGATTGCAGGCGCCGTAATTTGCTTCCATTTTCAAGGTAGGAAATTCTACAATCAAATTCTAACGAAATCTAATCATATTCGAAAAACTTAATATTCATCCAAGTGCATAAAGTGCAAAGAAGGTTTGCCATATTTTTTTTTATTATGAGTGAATTATCAATTGCGTTTAATTAAAAATCTGTTTATCAATCATGTCTCCGAAAACATACGAAAGTTTTTGATCTTTGGTCAAGGCCAGTTGGGGACACTTACATTGCTGATGATATGTGCAACCTGACTATAGAACTTCAACGAATGCATGACATACTGCAAGAACGAGTTGAAACTGCTCCTACCAAGAACAGTCGTTACACCTGTGGATACGAAAGAGGAAGTCGTCGAAGAGGAAGACCAAGGTTCTTAATTCCTGAAAGGCAGTTGGTGGGCCTTCGATCCTTAAATTTTACATGGAAACAAATCGCAGAAATGTTAGGTGTTTCAGAGAAAACTTTGCGTCGTCGTCGTATAGACTCTGATTTGCCTGTATGTGAGAATAATTATTCAAACATCACAGATGAAGAACTAGATAGGACAATAAGCTTGATACTTGGAACCTCCCCAAATTCTGGAGAACGAATGGTAACAGGAGCACTAGTGTCTCAAAATGTTAGAGTACAAAGAGCAAGAATTTGTGCCTCCATTAACAGAGTGGATCCTATTAATCGACAACTAAGGAATCATATATCTATTCATAGACGAGTTTACAGTGTCCCAACTCCAAATGCATTATGGTAAGCAGAACCATTTTGATTCGTATTTCATTGCAGTGATAGATATAAAACAAATTTTCATGTCCCTTCAACATGTCATTTGTTGTGGGGCCCCCTAACA